ACCTTGACTCGTATTTATGACGGTCGCAGTGTCCCAGGGGGATCCCATGATCCTCTTTTGCGATTGTCTGACAAGGAAAGTCAATGGGGGAAAATCGGGGTCACTTAACAACCAGGTTAGTAACGTTTAGCTGAACTGGGTTTTATTTTGAAAAAGTCAAGCCTGCCGTAGTACAGGTAGTCCTTGACTTACAACAGTTCATTTAGTGACCATTTCAAAGTCACTGAAAAAAACGACTTAAATCGTTTTCACACTTACGACCGTTGCAGGGTCCCTGCGGTCACGTGATCAAAATTCAGACGCTTGGCAACTGGCATGTATTTGCGACGGTTGCATCCTCAATCACGTATGTTTAGGTGTGCGTCATGTATGTGTTTCACTTTGAGAGCGGGCAACTAAATTTCATTTTTGATGTGTGCCATTGTGCCCACAATAAAAAAAATGACAATAAAGGTTATCTTATCTTATATCTTATCTCTCTTATCATCTTATCTTATCTTTTTGCAACCTCTGACCAGCAAAGTCAATGGGGGAAGCCAGATTCACTTAACAATTCTGTTTTTTTTAAAATGTTTTATTGATTTTCTAATTCTACATTTAAGTATTTAAAAAGCAATGGGGCGGCTGAGTTAATCAAATACAAATACAATGAAATGCAAATACCTTTAGTGCAAGTCTCAAACTACCCCATTAAATATGTCCTCTCTTTTCCCCTTAGTATTTACTGTCTCCTATTTAAACTAATGCAGTTCTTATTATATCAATTAAATAAAAATAACATTCTTGCATTTATCGATAATGTTTAGCTTATACATATCCTGGTTATTTTATTTTAACATTCAGTCTTTATAGACAATCAATGTCCCAATTAGTTTTTCCCAGTTTTTAGTTTCCCATTAATATTCACTTAACAAGCCTGTTACTCACTTAATAACTGCAGTGACTCACTTAACAACTGTGGCAAGACAGATCATAAAACCAGGCAAAGCTTAACTTAACAAATATCTTGCTTAGCGACAGAAATTATGGTCATAAGTCGTAATGTTTTTCAGTAGAGCAGGATGTTTTGAGGTTCACAACGTTTCCTAAAAGGAAAAAAAAACCCTGCATTTTTTTTCCCTGGTCCAAGATCGGATAAACATGATTGCTATTGAATAAAAATGGAAGCCGTTGCCTTAGTGGATGCAAAGAACGAAACCCTGAATTGCAAAGAGCGCATTAAGCCGTTCTCTCTGTGCACCACTTTTGGCTGATGAATATGCATGAGCGCTTAAACCACCCAGGAAGCCAGAGGATTTGACAGATAAGCCAAGTTGCCTCAGAAAATTCTTTCGTATCTGCTCTCCGTAATTGCAGGAAAGGGAAGTTTGTGCAAGAAAATGGACACGCAACCAGGTTTTGGCAGGTTGATGATCCTCATCGGCCCGCCTTAGTGGAGCAGATCAACATCAGTGCGATAGGAATCACTTAGCACAGGGCTTTTCAACCAGTGGTAAGGGTACCACCTGTGGTACATTGGCACCTGGCAGGTGGTACGCAACCATCCTAGAGAAGTGGTAGCGGGGGGGGGGGGAATGAGCTGAACCGGTGGCAGCACTGCACAAGCCTGAGCGAGAGACGGCTGGAGTTGCAGGGCTCAGCGGATGCGCCAGGATCAGTGCTGCTTTCCAGCTGATTGGGGCTGTCAGGGCTCAGTGGAAGCACCAGGATCAGGCTCCAGCTGGAGCTTGGCGCTGATCCTGGTGCTTCTGCTGAGCCCAGAAGAAGCCCCGATCAGCTGGAAAGCAGCACTGATCCTGGCGCTTCTGCTGAGCCCAGGAGAAGCGCCGATCAGCTGGAATGTTGCAGCCTCTCCAGGGTCTTGTGATTTACATTCAGATACTTGGCAACTGATTCATATTTATGACGGTCACGGTGTCCCAGGGTCATGTGAAGGGACCAAAACCTGCTGCAACCACCCAGCCGACAGGGAAAATAAAAACCAAACACCCCCCCCCAACCCCGCTGCCAATCCTCAACAGAAATGCTCACAACAATGAGAAAACCTCGGACAGGAGGAAGAGCACCGCTGGGGGGGGGCAGGCAGGTGTCTTGCTCACCTGTGGCTTGGGGGGCCCTTTTTTCAGTGCCATTATAACTTCGAACAGTCACTAAGCGAACTGCTGTAAGTCGACTACCTGTACTTTTATCACTTTTTTTTTTTTTTGGTCATCAAGTTTTTGACACCTTGCTAGGCGACTGGTGGTTCTCGGATATTGCCCTATCCTAAAAGTGGTACAATGGGTGAAAAAGGTTTAAAAGCCCTGGCTTAGCAGTTAGCTGGAGTTTTTATAGATTTTTTTTTTTAATTGATGAATTGTCAGTGGGTATCTGTGGAGATTCTCTGCCTTCCAGGTCAAGGGTTGTCCCCAAGGGGCTTTTTCAAAAGGCAATGGGACTTTCTTTGTTTCGCTTCTCATCCCAGAAGCTTCTTCAGTTCTGACTGAATGGTGGAGGATGGAAGATTTATACGCCTTGCAGTCGTCTGGTCGTTAGTACTCTTTCTGAGAATCGTTGAGGCCATTCGGAGGTTTATCTGTGTGGTAAACAGGAGATGGGGAGGGGGTGTTGTATCCCTCCCCCTCTGTTGAGGGAGGGCTACACAATCGTAATGCAGATGGCCTCTTTGACTCCTCTTTCAAATCAGAGGTCCCCTCTGTCCAGAATGTGGACTTTGCTGTCTTCCAGAGAGCTGTGAAAAAGCATCTTTGGGACTTTGACCAACGCTGACAGGACAAGCCAACTGTTTATAAACAAAGTCCAACTCCCCTCCTTTCTAGCACGGGTGATGTTACCTAGTTGGGTCATGAAATATCTGCAAGAGGACAGCCGAGCTTAGAGATCACCAAGGACGCCTCAATTAACCTCCTCCTCAAACCCCACTTCCTTCTAGCACTGATGATGCTTCCTAGTTGGGTGATGAAGCATCTTCAAGAAAATCACCAAGCTCAGAGAGCACCCAGGACCCAAAATTCTCCTCCTCCTCCTCCTCCTCCTCTCCCTTGTAGCACTGATGATGTTACTTAGTTGGATCATGAAACATCTACAAGAAAACTATCAAGTTCAGAAAGCACCAAGGAACCACAGTTCTCCTTCCCTCCCTCCCAGCACTGATGATGTTACCTAGTTGGCTCATGAAACATCTACAAGATAACAACCAAGCTTAGAGAGCATCAAGGAATCATAGTTCTCCTCCTCCTCCTCCTCCTCCTCCTCCTCTCTAATCCCACTCCCTTCTAGAACTGATGATGTTACTTAGTTGGGTCATCCAATGTCTGCAAGAAAACAATCCAGATCAGAGAGCACCAAGGACCCCACAGACTTTCTTCTTCTTCTTCTTCTTCTTCTTCTTCTTCTTCTTCTTCTTCTTCTTCTTCTTCTTCTTCTTCTTCTTCTTCTTCTTCTTCTTCTTCTTCTTCTTCTTCTTCTTCTTCTTATTCTTCTTCTTCTTCTTCTTCTTCTTCTTCTTCTTCTTCTTCTTCTTCTTCTTCTTCTTCTTCTTCTTCTTCTTCTTCTTCTTCTTCTCCTTCTCCTTCTCCTCCTCCTCCTCTTCCTCCTCCTCCTCCTCCTCCTCCTCCTCCTTCTTCTCCTCCTCCTCCTTCTCCTCCTCCTCCTTTTCCTTCTCCTCCTCCTGCTTCTTTTTCTTCTTCTCCTCCTCCTCCTCCTCCTCCCTTCTTCCCTCCCTCCCTCCCTTCCAGCACTGATGATGTTACCTAGTTGGGTGATGAAGCATCTTCAGGAAAACTACCAAGCTCAGAGAACAGCAAGGACACCACAGCCGTTGTCGTTGTCATCGTCCTCCTCCTCTTCCTCCTCCTCCTCCTCCTCCTCAACCCTACTTCCTTGTAGCATTGATAATGTTACCTAGTTGAGTCATGAAATGTCTGTAAGAGAACAGTCAAGCTCAGAGAGCACCAAAGACCCTACAGTCATCCTCTTTTTCATCCTCCTCCCTCCTCCTCCTCCTCCTCCTCCTCACCCCCCCCCTCCTCTCCTCCCCACTCCCTTCTTGCACTGCTAGTTGAGTCTTGAAATGTCTGCAAGGGAACCGCCAACCTCAGAGAGCAGTCAGGACCCCATGTTTGTACACACAGATCCCCAGAGAGAAGAGAAACCAATTGTCATCTCTGTTGACCTTCCCCTTAATTTTTGTCAAGGGGGCTAAGGGGTCACTTCCTCAGGATCCTTCTCAGAAATCAGCGTGTGATGCAGGAGGGGTACATTTTCTGTGCAAATTAGGAGGGTCTTCCACAGTCAGTTCCCTGTTGTCGTGGAAACGAGGGCTAACCTTATCCCAAAGTTGCTTTTTCACAAGGCCACTGGACTTTCTTTGCTGTTCTTTGAACACCTCCAAGAAACTTCTTCGGCTCTTACGAAGCCGAAGAAGCTTTGGGGGCGAGAAGCGAAACGTCTTCAAAGAAAAACGAAGCAAGTCCAGCGGCCTCGTGAAGAAGCACCTTGGGGACAACTGTGACCTGGATGATTGAGAATCCCCGTAGAACAGTGGTTCTCAACCTGTGGGTCGGGACCCCATTTGGAGTCGAACGACCATTTCACGGGGGTCACCGAACAACGCAGTCCTCCATTTTTTTCCCCCTTTTTCCTTAGCTGTGCTACTCCTTTTTATTCTATTGGCTTTTGAAAGCCAATCGAATGGACTCTCTTGAATAGAGTCTCATTCTATTGGCTTTCAAAAGCCAATAGGAATTGTCCAGGCTGTCTCTGCCCTGCTGAGCCCGCCAAAAGTCCCATTCTGCAAACGGTGCTGCACCAGTTGAGTAATCCTCGACTTACGACCAGTTGAGTAGTCCTCGACTTACGACCGGTTGGGGGTTCGCGGCATTAAAAAGGTTGAGAACCACTGCCGTAGAAGGTCTAACCTTGTCTCTCCTTTCCAAGCCAACGTCCTTCCCAGAAGGCGCTCCGATCCTGCTGAAATCATCCTCTCTTGTTTTTGACAGTTGCACTATAAAATCCCTCCAGCGCCGTCACGTTTGTATCAGCCGCCTTGAAAGACCCCAGAACTGGGGGGAGAATTCCTGTGAAGTGAGATTCGTGATTTTGGTGCTCGCGCCTCCAAAAATGGTACGTTTGCTCTCCTCCTGGGCCTGTGGGAGGTGCCTGGGTGTCGCTTCCAGGCCAAATTCTTCCTGTTTCATGCGCGGGTGAAAGAGCTTCGTGTGGGGAAATATCACTTTGCTCTGTTAAGTCTCTGTCACTCTTCGGCCCACAGTGATGACCTAACAACACAGGGGTTTCCAAACTTGGCAACTTTAAGACTTATAATAATAATAATAATAATAAAGTTGTAAGGGACCTTGGAGGTCATCTAGTCCAACCCCTTGTTCAGGAAGGGAACCCTCTACCATTTCGGACAAATGGCTGCCAGTTTCTTCTTAAAAACTTCCAGTGTTGGAGCATTCACCGCTTCTGGAGGCAGGTTGTTCCACTGGTCAATTGTTCTCACTGTCAGGAAGTTTCTCCTTAGTTCCAGGTTGCTTCTCTCCTTGGTTAGTTTCCATCCGTTGCTTCTCGTCCTGCCTTCAGGACTTCGACTCCCAGAATTCCATCTGGGAGTTGATGTCTACATGTTTTAAACTTGGAAACCTCTCCCTTTCCCCTCAGCGTGGCTGGCTGGGGAATTCTGGGAGTTGAAGTCCACAAGTCTTAAAGTCGCCAAGGTTGAGGACCCCTGATGTAGATGTTTGCCTTATTCATTAATGTCTCTTTTGCTTTCCTTGTTTTTACTTCTTCAGAAAAGTACCAAAACAGCCACCGAAGTGGGCCGGACATTTGCCACCATGTTTTCGGACATCACCTTCCGGCAGAAACTTTTGGAAACCAAAACTGAAGAAGAATTCAAAGAAGCTTTGGTCCACCAACGACACCTGCTGATGGTGGTCAACCAGAGGCCCTCGGCCATGACCGAGGACCACAAAGCCCATGGTCCCAAGCCTCTGAAGGTAGAGGATAAGGGAAGCTGGTGCCGTGCTTCAGGTCCTCAAAATGCGGCCGTGGTCCCTTAGAGTGGCAGGTGTCCTCCTAAGACGGGTAGGCAACCTCGGCTCTTTTATGACTGGTGGACTTCAACTCCCAGAATTCCTGAGCCAGCCATGCTGAGGGGAAAGGGAGAGGTTTCCAAGCTGAGCCAGGCTGGCTCAGGAATTCTGGGAGTTGAAGTTCACCAGTCATAAAGCGGCCTAGGCCAGAGACAGACAACCTTGGCTTTTTTATGATTCGTGGACTTCAACTCCCAGAATTCCTGAGCCAGCCATGCTGAGGGGAAAGGGAGAGGTTTCCAAGCTGAGCCAGGCTGGCTCAGGAATTCTGGGAGTTGAAGTTCACCAGTCATAAAGCGGCCTAGGCCAGAGACAGACAACCTTGGCTTTTTTATGATTCGTGGACTTCAACTCACAGAATTCCTGAGCCAGCCACGCTGAGGGGAAAAGGAGAGGTTTCCAAGCTGAGCCAGGAGTTGAATTCCGGGAGTTGAAGTCCACGTCATAAAGAGGCCGCCGTTCCTTAAGCTGCCTCAGGAATTCTGGGAGTTGAAGTCCACAAGTCATAAAAGAGCTGAGGTTGCCTACCCCTGTCCTCTAAGACAGTGTTTCTCAACCTTGACAATTTTAAGGCATGTGGACTTCAACTCCCAGAATTCCACAGCCAGCAATGCTGGCTGTGGAATTCTGGGAGTTGAAGTCCACATGCCTTAAAATTGTCAAGGTTGAGAAACACTGCTCTAAGAGGTTCTTCAAGTAGTCCTCAACTTATGACCACAGCGGAACCCAAAATACTCCATCGCTAAGCAAGATGGTGGTTAAGCGAGTCACAGTTCTTAAGCGAATCTCTGCATTTGTTAAGTTAGTAACATGGTCGTTAAGCGGATCTGGCTCCCCCCCCTCCATTGACTTTGCTAGTCAGGAGGTCACCAAAGAGGATCACGTGATCCCGGGACACTGCAACCGTTATAAGTATGAGTCAATTGCCAAGTGTCTGAACTTCAATCAAATAACCCTGGGGATGCTGCAAGGGTGATAACATGTGAAAAACGGTCGTAAGTCAGGTATTTTTAGCACTGCTGCAACTTCTCCTGGTCATTAAATGAATGCTTGTAAGTCAAGGACTACTTGTACATGTTTAATTTTGAGGGTCCGCTACAAAACCTCACCTGGAAGACTAGGTGGGTGGAAAGAGACCCCCAGAGACCGAGGGGCGAGCAGCCGGCCAGCAAACAGCAGGAAGCAAAATTAATTTTGTGCTCTCTGACCTTCGTGGTTTTCTCAAGGAACGTTTCATTACCAAACTAGATAACGTTATCAGTGCTAGTGAGGTTATTGATTACTGCATCGTTACTATAGCACTGAAGATGTTAACTCCCCCCCCCCAATATTTTATTAATTTTTTAGAATCACAAACCCTTAATATTTTATCAGCAACATATTGTCTGGGTTCCAATGTTTAGTTTACTAATACATGTTAAACTCCTTTCTCTCTAGTCCACTGATAAAATGTATCCCATGTTGTAAAGTAATCTGAACCTTCTTTCGCTTTCATTTTTGGTGCCAGTCTGTCCACAGTCATAGTCATTGTCGTCGTCCTCCTCCTCCTCCTCCTTCCCCCACCCACAAACCCCACTCCTTTGTAGCACTGATGATGTTCCCTAGTTGGGTCATGAAACGTCTGCAAGAAAACCACCCAGCTCAGAGAGCACCAAGGACCCCACAGTTCTCCTCCTCCTCCTCCTCTTCCTCCTCCCTTTCTTCTTCTTCTTCTTCTTCTTCTTCTTCTTCTTCTTCTTCTTCTTCTTCTTCTTCTTCTTCTTCTTCTTCTTCTTCTTCTTCTTCTTCTTCTTCTTCTCCTCCTCCTCCTCCTCCTCCTCCTCCTCCTCCTCCTCCTCCTCTTCCTCCGCCCTCTCTCCCTCCTCCTCCATCCCCTTCCACTTCCACTTCCTCCTATTTTTCTTCTTCATCCTCCTCCCCCTCCTCCTCTTCCTCCTCTACCCTTACTTCCTTCTAGGACTGATGATGTTACCTAGTTGGGTCATGAAACGTCTACAAGAAAACCACCAAGCTCAGAGAGCACCAAGGACCCCACAGTCCTCTTCTTCTTCTTCTTCTTCTTCTTCTTCTTCTTCTTCTTCTTCTTCTTCTTCTTCTTCTTCTTCTTCTTCTTCTTCTTCTTCTTCTTCTTCTTCTTCTTCTCTCCTCCTCCTCTTCTTCTTCTTCTTCTTCTTCTTCTTCTTCTTCTTCTTCTTCTTCTTCTTCTTCTTCTTCTCCTCCTCCTCCTCCTCCTCCTCCTCCTCCTCCTCCTCCTCCTCCTCCTCCTCCTCCTCCTCCTCCTCCTCCTTCCAAACCCCATTCCTTTGAAGCACTGATGATGTTACTTAGTTGGGCTATGAAACGTCTGCAAGAAAATCACCAAGCTCAGAGAGCAACAAGGACCCCACAGTATTCCTCCTCCTCCTCCTCCTCCAGTCCTCAAATCCTTCTCCCTACTAGCACTGATGATGTGTATCTAGTTTGGTAATAAAATGTCTGCAAGAAAATCACCAAGCTCAGAGAGCATCAAAGATGACCTCCTTCTCCCCTCCCACACACAGCTCTTTCACCTTTTCTAGCACTCCTGACGTTACCTAGTCGGGTCATGAAACGTCTGCAAGAAAACCACCCAGCTCAGAGGGCACCCAGGACCCCCCCCCCTCCAGTTCAACCTCGAGCTTCAAATATCCCCCTCCTCAAATTAACTTCGCCCAGGTTGACGGTGCTTTTTGATGGCTTTGCGTGCGGCAAGGCCCTCCTTGCCTTTTGCGGTGCATCTGGAGACCCGACGCCATTTTGGAGGACCCCCCCCCCGTTTCTCTCTCTGTCTGGCCTCCCATGTGCCCCATCCTCATTTCTTTTGAATTCCTGTCCGCCCGTGGGCTGTTCCCGCCAGCCTGGCGGAGGCCTGCGGGCTGCCTTGCCTCCAACAATAGAGGAGCATACTTGAACCGAGATGACATTTCCTTCCTCCCTTCAGCTGCACGATTTCTTCAATGTTGGCAAAGGGATTTTTGATGACATTGCTAGAAGGCTTCCAGTGTACGCTCTGGACTTCACTGACGGTAGGTGAGCTGCTGTTTACGGCGGGGGGGGGAGAGATTTGTGCCGTGTCCTGTTTACCAGGGTCTGACAACTCGGCCTTGTGGAAAGGAAAAATTCACCGGGTGGGTTTCGAGAAGGTTTCCCCAAGTCTACAGCCATAAGGGGATGCCCTCTGACCCACATCAAGGGTTGCCCACGTATGCCGAGAGCTTTACGTGGGGCGGCAAAACACAGTATTATAATCCCGCACACAATAGTATTGTCTCATAATCAGAGTCACACGTTTTAAATATAGTTGGAGAGGTCTTTGGTGTTCCCCGAGCTTGGTTGCTTTTTGCAGATGTTTCATTACCAAACTAGGTAACGTTATCAGGGGCACTAAAAACCCCACTGCCTTCTAGCACTGATGCTGTTACCTAGATTGGTAATGAAATGTCTGCAAGAAAAGCACCAAGGACCCCATAGACCTTCTTCTTCTTCTTCTTCTTCTTCTTCTTCTTCTTCTTCTTCTTCTTCTTCTTCTTCTTCTTCTTCTTCTTCTTCTTCTTCTTCTTCTTCTTATTCTTCTTCTTCTTCTTCTTCTTCTTCTTCTTCTTCTTCTTCTTCTTCTCCTCCTCCTCCTCCTCCTCCTCCTCCTCCTCCTCCTCCTCCTTCTCCTTCTCCTCCTCCCTCTCTCCCTCCTCCTCCATCCCCTTCCACTTCCACTTCCTCCTATTTTTCTTCTTCATCCTCCTCCCCCTCCTTCTCTTCCTCTTCCTCTTCCTCCTCTACCCTCACGTCGTTCTAGGACTGATGATGTTACCTAGTTGGGTCATGAAATGTCTCCAAGAAAACCACCAAGCTCAGAGAGCACCAAGGACCCCACAGCCGTCGTCGTACTCCTCCTCCTCCTCCTCCTCCTCCTGTTGTTGTTGTTGTTGTTGTTGTTGTTGTTCTTCTTCTTCTTCTTCTTCTTCTTCTTCTTCTTCTTCTTCTTCTTCTTCTTCTTCTTCTTCTCCTCCTCCTCCTTCTCCTTCTCCTTCTCCTTCTCCTTCTTCTCCTTCTTCTCCTCCCTCTCTCCCTCCTCCTCCATCCCCTTCCACTTCCAGTTCCTCCTCCTCCTCTTATTTTTCTTCTTCATCCTCCTCCCCCTCCTTCTCTTCCTCTTCCTCCTCTACCCTCACTTCCTTCTAGGACTGATGGTGTTACCTAGTTGGGTCATGAAATGTCTCCAAGAAAACCACCAAGCTCAGAGAGCACCAAGGACCCCACAGCCGTCGTCGTACTCCTCCTCCTCCTCCTCCTCCTGTTGTTGTTGTTGTTGTTGTTGTTGTTCTTCTTCTTCTTCTTCTTCTTCTTCTTCTTCTTCTTCTTCTTCTTCTTCTTCTTCTTCTTCTCCTCCTCCTCCTCCTCCTCCTCCTCCTCCTCCTCCTCCTCCTTCTCCTTCTCCTCCTCCCTCTCTCCCTCCTCCTCCATCCCCTTCCACTTCCACTTCCTCCTATTTTTCTTCTTCATCCTCCTCCCCCTCCTTCTCTTCCTCTTCCTCTTCCTCCTCTACCCTCACGTCGTTCTAGGACTGATGATGTTACCTAGTTGGGTCATGAAATGTCTCCAAGAAAACCACCAAGCTCAGAGAGCACCAAGGACCCCACAGCCGTCGTCGTACTCCTCCTCCTCCTCCTCCTCCTGTTGTTGTTGTTGTTGTTGTTGTTGTTGTTCTTCTTCTTCTTCTTCTTCTTCTTCTTCTTCTTCTTCTTCTTCTTCTTCTTCTTCTTCTTCTCCTCCTCCTCCTTCTCCTTCTCCTTCTCCTTCTCCTTCTTCTCCTTCTTCTCCTCCCTCTCTCCCTCCTCCTCCATCCCCTTCCACTTCCAGTTCCTCCTCCTCCTCTTATTTTTCTTCTTCATCCTCCTCCCCCTCCTTCTCTTCCTCTTCCTCCTCTACCCTCACTTCCTTCTAGGACTGATGGTGTTACCTAGTTGGGTCATGAAACGTCTGCAAGAAAACCACCCAGCTCAGAGAGCACCAAGGATCCCACAGTCTTCCTCCTCCTCCTCCCCCCCCCCACAAACTGCATTCTCTTCTAGAACTGCTTTTGTTTTATTTTATATATTTTATTTTATTCTCTATTTTGAAAGTTTATATGGCTGCAACTCTGGGCATCTTACAAAAATAAAACCACCCTATAAAATCCAATAATTGAGCTCAACATTTCCGTCGCTAAGCGAGACAGCTGCTAAGTGGGTTCTGCCCCACTTGACCTTTCTTGCCACCGTCGCTAAGTGAACCACTGCGCTTGTTAAGTTAGCAACACGGCTGTTAAGTGAATCTGCCTTCCCCCATTGACTTTGCTTGTCGAAAGGTCACAAAAAGGGGACCACCTGACCCTGGGACGCTGCAACCGTCATAAATACGAGTCAGTTGCCAAGCCTCTGAATTTTGATCGTGTGACCATGAAGATGCTATAACGGTCGTAAGCGTGAAAAACAGTCCTTTTTTTCCAGTGCTGTTGTAACTTGAAACGGTCACTAAGTGAACTGTTGTATGTTTTGGATTACCTACATGCTGTGGGTAATCAAGGTTAAATTAAATGACAAGAGTTCTACATGACACCTGCTTCCCCCCCCCTCCAAAAAAGAGAAAATGTTGGATAATTCCCTGATTCAGGAATCATTTTAAATTTTTAAATCCATCAGTGAACATCTGTAATTTTTTTAGACTGTCTTAAAATACAATCAGGTGGAAAATGTGCTTATTTCGATAATGAGAATGGAATGGAATGAAAGGCAACCAAAGCTATGGTTGGTAAATATTATAAAAGTACAACACTAACAGTACAAAAAAAAAATTAATACCTACCTACGTGCTGAAAGGGAACGCTCAAGATCACAAAGAGGATGTGAAAATGGGTAAACATTTAAAAAATAAAATTAAAGAGAAATTCTTCATAAGTTTATTCATGCCAGGTTCCCTTAATTAATTGCTGCCAGACAATTAACCATCCCTTGTGGAAGAGGGGAAAATTAAGAGGAAAGCTTTCATTATGGATTGTAACATGTGGGAAGGAAGAGGGAGGGAGTGATGGAGGGAGGAAGGAATGAAAAGGAAGGAAGGAAGGAAGGAAGGAAGGAAGGAAGGAAGGAAGAAAGAAAGAAAGAAAGGGAAAGAAAAAAGGTTAGGAAGAAAGGAAAAAAGATGGAGGAAGGAAGCAGGAGGGAGAGGAAGGAAAGGAGAATAATAGAAGGAGGGAGGGAAAGAACAAAAGGAACAAATGAAGGGAGAGGAAGGAAGGAAAAAGAGAAGGGAGAAAAGGGAGGGAGGAAAAGAAAAAATAGGAAGAAAGGAAAGAAGAAGATGGGAGGGGGGGACGAAGAAAGGAAAGGATGGAAGGAAGGAAGCCCCCAATAGCCTTGGTGCTCTTGTGAGTTAACTACAGTTCCCAGAATTCCCCAGGGCGCACACCTGGTTCTTTTCCACGTTTTTAATCCGCTATTTGGGCTTCTTTTTTTTTCTTTTCTTTTAGGCATTATTGGCAACAACAAAGCGATAGGGAAATACATCACCACCATGATCTTCCTCTATTTTGCCTGCCTCCTACCAACCATTGCTTTCGGGTCCCTGAATGACGAGAACACCGAGGGGGTCATAGGTGAGTGGCCCTTCCCGTGTTTACGTTGGAATGGGGGGGGGTGTCTGAGTAGTGAGCAGATCCTACTTGAGCAGCTCTCTAGCGCAGCGGTTCTCAACCTATGGGTCGCGACCCCATTTGGGGTCGATCGACCACTTTTCGGGGGTCGCCAAAGGCGGCGACCCGCCATTTTGTCCCCTCCGGGGGCGGCGTCACGCATGCGCGCCGCGCACGGAGCCGCACCACGCATGTGCATAACGTTTGTGTGACGGGGTCGCCGTCACACAAACGTTGAGAAACGCTGCTCTAGCGGATAGAATCAAGATCAGGTGAACTGTTAGTACCACTTTACAAGGCCTTGGTAAGGCCACACTTGGAAGACTGCATCCAGTTTTGGTCACCACGATGTAGAAAAGATGTTGAGACTCTAGAAAGAGTGCAGAGAAGAGCAACAAAGATGATTAGGGGACTGGAGGCTAAAACATATAAGGAATGGTTGTTGGAATTGGGTATGTCTAGTTTAATGAAGAGAAGGACAAGGGGGGGACAGGATAGCAGTCTTCCAGTATCTCAGGGGCTGCCCAAAGAAGAGGGAGTCAAGCTATTCTCCAAAGCCCCTGAAGGCAGGACAAGAAGCAACGGATGGAAACTAATCAAGGAGAGAAGCAACCTAGAACTAAGGAGAAACTTCCTGACAGTTAGAACAATTAACAGTGGAACAACCTGCCTCCAGAAGCGGTGAATGCTCCAACACTGGAAGTTTTTAAGAAGAGACTGGACAGCCATTTGTCCGAAATGGTGTAGGGTTTCCTGCCTGAGCAGGTGGTTGGACTAGATGACCTCCAAGGTCCCTTCCAACATTATTATTATTATTATTATTATTATTATTATTATTATTATTATTATTATTATCATTATCATCATCATCATCATTATCATCATTATTATTATTAAAGAGCAGATAGTGCCCTGACTGAAGACCACCGTTAATTTTTGTTGCTAACCGAGACATATGACGAAGTAAGTTTTGCCCTGCTGCCTGTGATCTCGGTTGAATAAGACAACATTTGGGACATTGCTATGCGTTTTAATTATTTGCAGAATTTACTTTGTATTAAAAAAAAAAACCCTGATTAAAACCTTGGTGTACAGCAGTGAGCAGAATAGGAGCCCTCTTGTACTTAAGGATGGGGTTTTTTTTAAATGTTCATTAAGGCTAGAGACGGCTCTAAAAATAAATAAGAGGCGGTAGCAAGGATTTTTTATTTATTTTTTTTAAAAAAGAAAAGCTTAAAAACAGTCTTCTCGGCCCAAAGAAAAACAAAAACCTTTGTTGGAATCAGACCAGGAAATCTTAGCTTTATTTATCCGCATGTCTCCTTGGACCCAAAATCCAGGAAATTCCATGTTTCTGATTTCCAAGGTTATAAAAGATAAGAACAGCATATCTTGCTGAGCTATAAGTTCAGAATTGTGCTCGGACAGAGAGAGAGAGAGAGAGAGAGAGAGAGAGAGACCTTCCTGAAAAACCTACAGGAGTATAATAATAGTAGTAGTAGTAGTAGTAGTAGTAATAATAATAATAATAGAGTTGGAAGGGACCTCGGAGGTCATCTATTCCAACCCCCTGCTCAGGCAGGAAACCCTATATCATTTCTGACAAATGATGGTCCAATTTCTTGTTTAAAACCTCCAGTGTTGGAGCATTCACAACTTCTGGTGGCAAGCTGTTCCACTAATTAATTATTCTGACTGTCAGTAAAACACAAATGAAGAAACTTCTTGGATGAGAAGTGAAATGTCTTTAGAATAGAATAAGAATAGAGTAGAGTAGAGTAGAGTAGAATAGAATAGAATAGAACAGAATAGGACAGAATAGGAATAGGACAGAATAAGAATAGAATAGAATAACAATAGAATAGAAATAAGAATTACAATAAGAATAGAATAGAATAAGAATAGAATAGAATAGAAATAAGAATTAGAATAGAATAGAATAATAGAATAAGAATAGAATGAATAAAATAGAATAGAAATAAGAATTAGAATAGAATAAGAATGAATAGAATAGAATAACAATAGAATAGAAATAAGAATTAGAATAGACTAGAATAAGAATTAGAATAGACTAGAATAGAATAGAATTAGAATAGAATAGAATAAGAATAAAATAACAATAGACTGGAAACCAGAGATCTTTTTGTTGGGTATTTTAAATAGAAAATATAGTAAAGAAATATGGTACTTAATTTTACATATAATAACGGCGGCAAGAATAGCATGTGCACAGTGCTGGAAAAATGAGAATACACCATCAGAGGAAGAAGTAATAAAAATCCTGGACTGTGCTGAGATGGACAAATTAACAAAAGAGATAAAAGAAAAGGAAGACACAGAGTGTTATATAGTATGGAACAAGGTGTATGTCTGGTTGAAGACTAGAAATAATAGAGGAGAATAAATATGGAAAGGTCAAAAGTGAAAATATGTGTACAATAATGTATAATGATAATAATATGAATTATTCTTAATAAGAAGTAGAACATGAAGGAAGAAAAATGTAAATAAGAAATAATGGGGCTATAAGGACAAATATTTAAAGAAGAATAAGGGGGAAATGTAAATATTAGATTATCGTTACGTAATTGCTGTAAAAAAAAGGAGGAGTATATATTGTGTGTGTATGTGTGTTATGTTTTGCTTTGTTCTGTTTTGTCTTGTTGGTTAAAAATAAAAATTAAAAAAAAAAGAATAGAATAACAATAGAATAGAATAGAAATAAGAATTAGAATAGAATAGAACCCAGTCCAACTCCCCTTGAATTCCTTGACCCTTATCTAACTCCCAGCAGGTGCTCACCATTACAGATAGACCTCAATTTACAACCATTCATTTACTGATGGTTCAAAGGGATTTATGACCGTTTTTCACACTTAGGACCGTCGCAGCATCCCCAGACACTTGGCCACTGGTTCATATTTATGCTGGTTGCAGTGTCTGGGGGGGGGAGGTGTCCCGCGATCCCCTTCTGTGACTTTCTGACAAGCAGAGTCAATAAGGGAAGCCGGATTCACTTAACAACCGTGTTACTAACTTAACAAATGCAGTGATCCCCTTAACAATTGTGGCCAGAAAAGTCGCAGAACAGGGGCAAAACTCACTTCACCGCTGTCTCACTTAGAAACAGAAATTTGGGGTCCATGGTAGTCGTATGTTGAGGACTAGCTATAGTTGAAAAGATGGTGGCGCAGCAGTTAGAGTGCAGTGCTGCAGGCCACTTTAGCTGACTGTGTTCAGCAGGTCAGCGGTTCAAATCTCACCGGCTCAAGGTTGACTCAGCCTTCCATCCTTCCGGGGTAGGTAAAATGAGGACCCAGATTGTTGGGGGCAATGTCAATATATATACATACATTGCTTACTGGTGTACACCGCTTAGAGAGTGCTTGCACTTAAAGCGGTATATAAGTCTCATAAATAAATAAATTCCTGCGGCACAGCTTTTTAGCAATAAATCAATTTAATTGGACCTCTGGATGTGGACCTGTTTTTTTCCCTGTCTGATAATGCTGCGGTTTAAGGCAGGTGTCAACACTGCTCACATGGGATGTTTTTGCTTTGACAACAGATGGAGATGCAACCATTTTCTTCTTCTTAGAGTTAGAGTTAGAGTTAGATGATGTTGGGGGGGGGGAGGAATGTGCATGAGAGTTTAGCTAGACACAACAATACTGGACCTAGTGTGAGAACCAAGGTTATTGAAGTAAGAAATGATAAGGATTGGCGGGGCTGGAGAACTGGAGGGAAAGCCTGCATTTCAAACTAATTGAGGAATGTGGTTTATGACGGTTAATTGGAGGAGGGAATTGTGCTTTGATGCTGTGTGCTCAGGGGAGGGGAATTCAGTTTTTGGCTTCGGCTGTGTTAGGGCTGACGCTATGCTTCTCGAATAAAGATTCTTTAAGGTAAACAATGCCTCGAAGTTCTTTGAAGAGTTTCATCTGTCGGAACCAGGACATTAAGCCCAAAACAAGTTGACTTCAGCCAATCCCTGGTTTGTTTTCCCAGCATTGTCTTTTTTATTTCCAGATGTGCAAAAGTCAATTGTGGGCCAGTGCATCGGTGGCCTGCTTTACGCGCTCTTCGCCGGCCAGCCACTAGTGGTGCTTTTAACTACGGCTCCTTTGGCACTGTATATCAACGGTGAGTTCAGCCTTGCCACTTTTCTGGGCTCTCTACGCTTCGGGGTTCCCACATGAGATAGGCTTTGGAGTACCGCCGACGGGCTCAACATGCTGCCTGCCGCACGGTCCTCATCCCTCCTGCCCACCCCTTTGATCAGCATCCCCTTTCGATGTTCAGACTGCTTTGTCCCAAAGGTGCTTTTTCAAGAGGCAACTGGACTTTCTTGTTTTTCCTTTGAAGACGTTTCCCTTCTCATCTCAGAAGCCTCTTCAGTTCTGACTGGATGGTGGGGGAAGGATTTATACTCCTTGCAGACAGCTGAGCTGGCTTTCATGCCTAAGACAGGACTAGAACTCGCCTTCTCCTGGCGATTGGCCCAAAGTCACCCAGCTGCTTTCATGGCTAAGGCGGGACTAGAATTCGCCATCTCCTGGCGATTGGCCCAAAGTCACTCAGCCGGCTTTCTTGGCTAAAGCGGGACTAGAACTCACCTTCTCCTGGTGATTGGCCCAAAGTCACCCAGCCGGCTTTCATGGCTAAGGCGGGACTAGAACTCGTCGTCTCCTGGCGATTGGCCCAAAGTCACCCAGCCGGCTTTCATGGCTAAGGCGGGACTAGAGCTCACCATCTCCTGGCGATTGGCCCAAAGTCACCCATCCAGTTTTCATGTCTAAGCCAGGACTAGAACTCACCATCTCCTGGTGATTGGCCCAAAGTCACTCAGCGGACATTCATAACTTATGCGGGACTAGAACTCACAGCCTCCTGGTGATTGGCCCCAAATCACCCAACTAGCTTGCCAGTCTAAGGGCTAGAACTCGCTGTCTCCTAGTTTCTAGCATAATGCTTTCATCAGCAGACTAAACTGGCTTTCTTGCTTGCAGTGATCAAAGGAATCTGTTACGACTACAATTTAGATTTCCGCGCGTTTTACGCATGGGTCGGTCTCTGGAACAGCTTTTTCCTCGTACTGTACTCTCTCTTCAACTTCAGCCTTGTAATGAAGCTCTTTAAAAGGTAAGACACACATGTTGTTGTGGTTGTTGTTGTTGTTGTTGATAGTGCCACCCATCTCACAATCACTCCGGGAAGCTTGGGAATTTTGAAATTGGTGCAAAAATAGAATAAAAAACCTAGCCAGGGGTAGGCAACCTTGGCTCTTTGATGACTCATGGACTTCAACTCCCAGAATTCCCGAGTCAGCCATGCTGAAGGGAAAGGGAGAGGTTTCCAAGCTGAGCCACGCTGGCTTAGGAATTCTGGGAGTTGAAGTCCACGAGTCATAAAGCGGCCTAGGCCAGAGGTAGGCAACCTTGGCTCTTTTATGACTCGTGGACTTCAACTCCCAGAATTCTTGAGCCAGCCATGCTGAGGGGAAAGGGAGAGGTTTCCAAGCTGAGCCATGCTGGCTGAGGAATTCTGGGAGTTGAAGTCCACAAGTCATAAAAGAGCCAAGGTTGCCTACACTTGGGCTAGCCACACAGATAGCAGTTTAGAAACCGAACTAGTTTAAGCCAGAGGTCACCAACCTTTTCATTCTGGTGGCCTGGAAGGAAAGGGAGCAGCTGGGAAATTTGTGGCTGCCTGCACATGCGTGCGTGAACAGGGCCATGCACGAGGCTAGCGGCCCTGTTTGCACATGTGCTCAGGCGCTAGCTGCCACTGCTAGCACCCGCGCGCATGCTCCAACGGGTCTGTGGGCATGGAAGGTGAGTACGTGCGTGCCTGTCCCACGGCCCAGTAATGGGCCACAGTCCATAGATTGGGGACCCCTGGTTTAAGCAACAGAACACGGAGTCCTCGACTTACAATAGTTTGTTTAGTATCATTCAGAGATTCAATGGCACTGGAAAAAGGTGACTTAGGACCATCTTTCACACTCATGACCATCACAGCATTTCCCCATTGTCACACAATCAAAATTCAGATGTTTGGCAACTGGTTCGCACTTAATGATGGCCGCAGGGCCACGCGATCCCCTTTTGCGACTTTCGGACGAGCAAAGTCAGCGAGGACGCCCAGCCCACTTCACAGCCCTGTGACTAAGTTAGCGACTGCAGCCATTCACTTAACAGTTAACCTATTCCGTTAACTGTCTTGCTTAGCAGCGGCATTTTGGGGGGGCTGCCTCGTGGTGGTAACTTGAGGACTAGCTGCCCAACCCCCGTTAAAAGATGCTTCAAAATGCTTTGAGGTCTTTCAGACGCTCCTAGAAAATACTCGGTGTCCTTTCTTGGCCTGTTTTGGTTGACGTTCTTCTCCTGTTGTGTGTGTGTGTGTGTGTGTGTGTGTTTTTGTAGGTCCACCGAGGAAATCATTGCCCTTTTTATTTCCATCACCTTCGTCCTCGATGCCCTTAAAGGAATCACAAAAGGTAAATCTGATGGGAAAATGTTCACCTGGCTGCATTTGTTGTTCTTCACACAGAGCAGGCCGTTCTGCAGAAAACAATGTGGCCCGTGCTAGGCTCTAAGACTCTTTCAACACTCAGCAGCGAATTTTGCTTTCAGGTTAGGCTTAAAACCCCCCCCCCCCAAAGTTACAATTACAGGTAATCCTCTATTTACAACAGTTTGTTTAGTAGTAGTAATAACTGTAATAGTAGCAACTGTGAGAAGGATCTTGGAATCCTAGTGGATAATCACTTAAATAGGAGCCGGCCGTGTGCTGCAGCTGCCAAAAAAGACAACACAGGGCTAGGCTGCATTAACAGAGGGATGGAATCAAGATCATGTAAACTGTTAGTACCACTTTACAAGGCCTTGGTAAGGCCACACTTGGAATACGGCATCCGGGTTTGGTCGCCACGATGTAAAAAAGACGTTGAGACTCTAGAAAGAGTACAGAGAAGAGCAACAAAGATGATCAGGGAACTGGAGGCTAAAACATATAAGGAACGGTTGCTGGAATTGGGGATGTCCAGTTTAATGAAGAGAAAGACCAGGGGGGACAGGATAGCAATCTTCCAGTATCTCAGGGGCTGCCCCAAAGAAGAGGGAGTCAAGCTATTCTCCAAAGCCCCTGAAGGCAGGAGAAGAAGCAACTGATGGAAATTCACCAAGGAGAGAAGCAACCTAGAACTAAGGAGAAACTTCCTGACAGTTAGAACAATTAACCAGTGGAACCACCTGCCTCCAGAAGTGGTGAATTCTCCAACACTGGAGGTTTTTAAGAAGAGACTGGATAGCCCTTTGTCCGAAATGGTATAGGGTTTCCTGCCTGAGCAGGGGGTTGGACTAGATGACCTCCAAGATCCCTTCCAACTGTTATTCTGTTATCCTTTCTTTCTCCCTCCTTCAACACTGGAAGTTTTCAAGAAGAGACTGGACAGCCATTTGTCTGAAATGGTATGGGTTCTGCCTGAGCAAGGGGGTTGGACTAGATGACCTCCAAGGTCCCTTCCAACTATTTTGTTCTGTTCTGTTCTATTCTTTCTCTATTCTATTCTATTTTATTCTTTTTCTATTCTGTTCTGTTCTGTTCTAGTCTATATTCTACTCCATTCCATTCTAAAGGAGAAATTTCCTGACAGTTAAAACAATTAACCAGTGGAACAACCTCTAAGGTCCTTAATAATAATAATAATAATGATGATGATGATGATGATGTTGGAAGGGACCTTGGAGGTCATCGAGTTATTATTATTATTATTATCATCATCATCATCATCATTATTATCATTATCATTATCATTATTATCATTATTGTGTTTAGTGACCGTTTGAAATTACAACGCTACTGAAAAAAAGGGGACTGATGACCAAATGTCTATGGAGGCTCTCAGTGAATCCAGTTGTCCCAAAGATGCTTTTTTTTTCAGGATGCAACTGGGCTTCCTTGTGTTCCTTTTGAAGACGTTTCGCTTCTCATCCACAAGAAGCTTCTTCAGTTCTGGCTGGATGGTGGGGAGCAACTTAACGACCATTTTTTACACACTAATGATCTTTACAGCATCCCCGTGGTCAGAATTCAAACCTTCGTTTGTTCCCGAGGTGCTTTTCCAAAAGCCAGCGGGACTGTGTTTTTTCTCCGAGAGTCGTTGAGGCCACTTGGGGGCTTGTCTGTGCCCTAAATGAGCCCCCAAGTGTCAGATCAGGGGTAGGCAACCTTGGCTCTTTTATGATTCGGGGACTTCAACTCCCAGAATTCCTGTGCCAGCATGGGGGAACTATGGCTCCTTCATGACTTGGGGACTTCAACTCCCAGAATTCCTGAGCCAGCATGTCTCAGCTTGGAAACCTCTCCCTTTCCCTCAGCATGGCTGGCTCAGGAATTCTGGGAGTTGAAGTCCACCAGTCATAAAGCGGCCTAGGCCTAGGCCAGAGGTAGGCCACCGTGGCTCTTTTATGACTCGTGGACTTCAACTCCCAGAATTCCTGAGCCAGCCACGCTGAGGGGAAAGGGAGAGTTTCCAAGCTGAGCCATGCTGGCTCAGGAATTTTGGGAGTTGAAGTCCCCAAGTCGTGAAGGGGCCATAGTTCCCCCATGCTGGCACAGGAATTCTGGGAGTTGAAGTCCACCAGTCATAAAGCGGCCTAGGCCTAGGCCAGAGGTAGGCAACTTTGGCTCTATTATGACTCGTGGACTTCAACTCCCAGAATTCCTGAGCCAGCATGGCTCAGCTTGGAAACTCTCCCTTTCCCCTCAGCACGGCTGGCTCAGGAATTCTGGGAGTTGAAGTCCACCAGTCATAAAGGAGCCTAGGTTGCCTACCTCTGTGTCAGATAAATCTCCAGATGGCCTCAACGACTCTCAGAGAGAATACTCATGACCAGAGGACTGTGAGGAATATAAATCCTTCCGTCTTCCCCCGTTCACAACCGGTGAAGCTTCTTGGATGAGAAGGGAAATGTCTTCAAGGAAAAACGAAGTCCCGTTGTCTTGTGAAAAAGCACCTTTGAGACAGCCATGACCTGGACGATGGAGAATCTCCATGGATGTTAAATGGGGCTGTAAAAAGAGGAAAAAAACGGGGTGCTTCAGATAGGGTAGGCCCTGGGAGGCCTAGTGCTAGCCCAGGCCCGTCTGCCCTGAGCCTCCCACACCCCTTGCGTTACCCCATAGCTTTCTGTCCCTCGTTTCCACACCGTCCTTGGGGTCTGCTTTCCCCATTTTAGATACACTGATGGGGACCCCCAGCAATCCATCATTCAGCAAGCCTTCTTCCTTACATACGAAGCACGGTTGCAGGATTTGGGTAGGGCCAGTCTAGAGAAAAGAAGGACTGGGGTGTTTGTGTGACATGATAGCAGTCTTCCAGTATTTGAGGTGCTGCCACAAAAAGATGTTGAGACTCTAGAAAAAGTGCAGAGAAGAGCAACGAAGATGATCAGGGGAGTGGAGGCTAAAACATATAAGGAACGGTTGCGAGAATTGGGTATGTCTAGTTTAACGAAGAGAAGGACAAGGGGGGACATGATAGCAGTATTCCAATATCTCAGGGGCTGCCATAAAGAAGAGGGAATTAAGCTATTTTCCAAAGCACCTGAAGGCAGGACAAGAAGCAACGGGTGGAAACTAATCAAGGAGAGAAGCAACTAGAACTAAGGAGAAACTTCCTGACAGTGAGAACAATTAATCAGTGGAACAGCTTGCCTCCAGAAGCAGTAAGTGCTCCAACACTGGAAGTTTTTAAGAAGAGACTGGACAGCCATTTGTCCGAAATGGTGTAGGGTTTCCTGCCCGAGCAGGGGGTTGGACTAGATGACCTCCAAGGTCCCTTCCAACTTTACTACTATTACTAAGAACTGTTGCTGGAATTGGGGATGTCGAGTTTAATAAAGAGAAGGACGGGGGGGGGGGACATGATAGCAGCGTTCCAGTATCTCAGGGGCTGCCCCAAAGAAGAGGGAGTCAAGCTATTCTCCAAAGCACCTGAAGGCAGGACAAGAAGCAACGGATGAAAAGTAATCAAGGAGAGAAGCAACCTGGAACTAAGAAGAAACTTCCTGACAGTCAGAACAATTAACCCGTGGAACAACCTGCCTCCAGAAGCAGGTGAATGCTCCAACACTGGAAGTTTTTAAGAAGAGACTGGACAGCCATTTGTGCAAAATAGCAAGGGTCTCCTGCTTGAGCAGGGGGTTGGACTAGATGACCTCCAAGGTTCACCATCACTGACATTCTATGTCAGTGATGGTGAACCTTTTAGAGACCGAGTGCCCAAACTGCAACCCAAAACCCACATGCATCGTCGGGTGCTGGGTGGGTGTGGCCCATTGGCTGGGCATGGCTGTGGTGGTAACAGCAGACAGGGCGGGACTAAAAAGTTCAATCAATCAATTCCAACTTTGCAAGATCTTTTTTTTCCTGCGAGAAGTTGAAATTGACTGATTGAACCTCTTTTTTTTTTTAATTGAAAATTTTTATTTTTTAAAACATACAATCATTTATAAAAATACAATATAATTTTAGAATAGAGAACCCCCCCCTTACCCTCCCTCCCACCCCCACCCCCCCTCCCTTCACTTCCCAGAGCAGAATACAGGGTTAGAAAAAAAAAGAAAATTATAATAATTAAGAAAAAAGAAAAAAAAAGAGAAAGAAAAAAAAATATCATAATTAACCTTTAACTCCATAACCTATAAAACAATGCTCTATAATATTTGATATTCATTCATAAAATAAATAAAACTTTTTAATTCCATACTTTTTCTGAATATAATCTATCCACCTTCCCCATACAGTAATATATATTTCTTGTGTATGATCCTTTAAATAAGCAGAAATTTTTGCCATTTCTGCAAAACTAGATACTTTAAATATCCATTCTTCTAAAGTAGGCAAAGAATCTTTCTTCCAATATACACCTACTAGTAACCTTGCTGCAGTTAATAAATTCAACATCAAAGTAGTTTCTTTTTCATTTAAGTCAACAAAAATACCAAGTAAAAATAGTTGAGGAGTAAACTTTATCTTTTTTATAAAAATCTTTTGAATGTTCCACCAAATCATAATCCAAAAAGCCTTTACTTTTTTACAATTCCACCAAATATGAAAGTATGTTGCATCATTATTGCCACATCTCCAACATTTGGGCTGTATGTTGGAATACATACAAGATAATTTTTTAGGATCTAAATGCCATCTATAAAACATTTTATAAAAATTTTCTCTCACATTTTGAGCTTGTGTAAATTTAACATTTCTTATCCAAATTATCTCCCATAAATCCAATGAGATCGGCTCCTGTATATTCTGAGCCCATTTAATCATACAATCTTTAACCAATTCTGTTTCCGAATCTAACTCTAATAAAACATTATATATTCTTTTTATATGAGCCGGACCTTGGTTTTTAATCTGAATAACCAATTGTCTATCTTCTAGTGTTATTCCCTCTTTCTTATCTACAGTCCATCTATCCATTATTTG